GGTGGGACGGGTGGGGTTTGGGGCTTTGGGATGGATGGAGGAGAGCCAGAGCCAGGGCAGGGACCTGACCCTGGAGGAGAACCAGGTACGTGTGGGATGGAGGAGAACCAGGTGTGGTGGGACACATGGGGATTTGGGATGGATAGAGGAGAACCAGGTGTGGTGGGACAGGTGGGGTTTGGGGGCTTGGGAGGGATGGAGGAGAACCAGAGTCAGGAGAGGGACATGACCCTGGAGGAGAACCAGGTACGTGTGGGATGGAGGAGAACCAGGTGTGGTGGGACAGGTGGGGTTTGGGGCTTTGGGAGAGACCTGAGCCTGGAGGAGAACCAGGTACGTGTGGGATGGAGGAGAACCAGGTGAGGTGGGACAGGTGGGGCTTGGGAGGGATGGAGGAGAACCAGAGCCAGGGGAGAGACCTGACCCTGGAGGAGAACCAGGTACGTGTGGGATGGAGGAGAACCAGAGATACAGGAGGGACCTGACCCTGGAGGAGAACCAGGTCTGTGTAGGGTGGAGGAGAACCAGGTGTGGTGGGACAGGTGGGGATTTGGGATGGATAGAGGAGAACCAGGTGTGGTGGGACTGGTGGGGTTTGGGGCTTTGGGAGAGACCTGAGCCTGGAGGAGAAGCAGGTACGTGTGGGATGGAGGAGAACCAGGTGAGGTGGGACAGGTGGGGTTTGGGAGCTTGGGATGGATGGAAGAAAGATCTCACCTTGGAGGAGAACCAGGTGTGGTGGGACAGGTGGAGTTTGGGAGTTTGGGATGGATGGAGGAGAACCAGAACCACAAGAGAGACCTGACCCTGGAAGAGAACCAGGTACGTGTAGGATGGAGGAGAACCAGGTGAGGTGGGACACGTGGGGATTTGGGATGGATAGAGGAGAACCAGGTGTGGTGGGACAGGTGGGGTTTGGGGCTTTGGGAGAGACCTGAGCCTGGAGGAGAACCAGGTGTGGTGGGACAGGTGGGGATTTGGGATGGATAGAGGAGAACCAGGTGAGGTGGGACACATGGGGATTTGGGATGGATAGAGGAGAACCAGGTGTGGTGGCACAGGTGGGGTTTGGGGACCTGAGCAGGGATGGAGGAGAGCCAGAGATACAGGAGGAACATGGTCATGGAGGAGAACCAGGTGTGGGGTGGGACTTGGGGCTTTGGGATGGATGGAGGAGAGCCAGAACCACAGGAGGGATCTGACCATGGAGGAGAACCAGGTGTGGTGGGACAGGTGGGGCTTGGGAGTTTGGG